GAAAGAGATGGTGAGATGACTACCTTGCATCAACTACCCTGATGAATTATGTGAAGGATGTTTACTCGGAAAGCACTTTAGAAAAAGTTTTCCAAGGGAGTCAAGTTCAAGAGCTCAAAAGCCTCTTGAACTCATACATACAGATATCTGTGGTCCAATAAAGTCAAGCTCACACGGTAAGAGCAACTATTTTCTTCTCTTCATAGATTATTTTTCACGAAAAATATGAGTATATTTCTTAAAACAAAAATAAGAGGTTTTTGGAGTATTCAAGAAGTTTAAGGCAGATTTAGAGAAATAGAGTGGTCTCAAGATCAAAGCTATGCGATCTGATCGAGGAGGAGAATTCACTTCAAAAGAATTTCAAGAATTCTGTGAAGCCAATGGAATACGTCGACTTCTAACTTTTCCAAGATCCCCCCAATAAAATGGAGTAGCGAAAATAAAGAATAGAATCATCCTTAACATGATAAGGAGCATGCTAAAAAGCAAGAGATTGCCGAAGGAATTTCGGGCAGAAGCGGTTTCATGTGCTGCTTATTTTTCTAACTGATCACCAACAAGAAGTGTGTTGGGAAAGAAACCATAAGAAGCATGGAGTAGAAAGAAGCCCGATATCTCTCGTCAACGAGTTCTTTTATGCATAACTCATGTACACATACCCGACGAGAAAAGAAGTAAGATGGATGACAAGAGCTAGAAGTTCATTTTCATTGGTTACGACAATAACTCGAAAGGCTACAAGTTATACAATTCAAATACATGGAAGATAAACATCAGCAGAGATGTCATATTCGATGAAGGAGAAGAATGATATTGGGGACTACATGATGATGACTACAACTTTTTCCCATACTTTCAATAAGAGTCTACTATACTACTTCACAAATAACAAGTAATCAAAGTAACTCATCATCATCAACTTCAAGAGAAAATTCAAGTGAAAGGGTACCACGCTTTAGAAGATTATAAAATTTTTATGAGGTAACTATGAATCAAGATAATCTTACTCTTTTTTATTTTTTTGCCGACTGTGAACCCATGGATTTCCAAGAAGCCATACAAAGCAACAAGTGGAAAGATGGAATGGATGAAGAAATCAAGACAATCTAGAAGGATGACACATTTGGGCTAGCTTCACTTCCTAAAGGGCATAAGGCAATTGATGTGAAGTGGGTGTACAAAGCAAAGAAGAATTTCAAAGGAGAAATTGAAAGATACAAGACAAGATTGGTGGCAAAAGGCTATAGTCAAAGAGCAGGCATCGACTATGATGAGGTATTTGCCCATATTGCTCGATTAGAAACTATTAGACTAATCATCTCTTTGACAACTCAAAATAAGTGAAGAATACATCAAATGGATATAAAATTTGCCTTCTTGAATGAAATACTAAAAAAAATTTCTGCATTCAGTAGCCACCAGGATATGAAGTCAAAGGACAAGAAGATAAGGTTCTAAAGCTAGAAAAGGCTCAATACAGGCTTAAGTAAGCACCAAGAGCATGAAATAACTGAATAGATAATATCTGCAAGAGAAATGCTTCATGAAGTGTCTTTATGAGCATGCTCTTTACATCAAGAATGAGGATGAAAATGTCTTGATTGTTTGTTTGTATGTCGATGACTTGATCTTCACCGGAAACAATCCAAGCATGTTTGAAAAGTTTAAAGAAACGATGACAAAGGAGTTCGAAATGACAGATATTGGGCTCATGGTATACTACATTGGCACTGAAGTCAAGCAAACGAAAGATGGGATTTTCATATCTCAAGAAGGTTATGCATAACAAATATTAAAAAAGTTCAAGATGGATAATAACCGACCTATAAAAACCCATGTAGAATGTCGAGTCAAGCTATCAAAGTATGATAAAGGAAAAAAAATTGATCCAATGGTTTTCTAAAGTTTGGTTGGAAGTTTGCACTACTTAACATGCACAAGGCATGATATTTTTTATGTTTTTAGATTTCTCAGTCACTACATTGAGACTATAACCACTACCCACCTGAAGACTGCTAACAGAATTATGCACTATATCAAAGATACAACTGATTTTGGTTTATTTTACTCATCATCTAATAATTTCAAGCTTGTAGGATATAGCGACAGTGATTGGGCTGGAGATATATATGATAGAAAAACACTGCATGGTTCGTGTTATTCATAGAAGACACTCATTTCACTTGGATGTCAAAGAAACAACCAATTTTCACTCTTTCTACTTGCAAAGCAGAGTACGTGGCTACAATATTATGTGTTTTTCATGCAATTTGGCTTCAAAACCTATTAAAGGAGTTAAGTTTACCACAAGAAGAGACGATCAAGATTTATATGGACAACAAGTCTGCAATCGCGCTAACAAAGAATCCAGTTTTCCACGATAGAAGCAACCACATTGATATGCGCTATCACTACACCAGAGAATGCTTCGAAAGAAATGAGATACAAGTGCAGTACGTGAAGTCTCAAGATCAAGTTACAGTTATTTTTACCAAGCCACTCAAAAGTTAAGACTTTATTAAATTGAGAAGTTTACTTGAAGTCAAAAAATTAAGTTTAAGAGGGGATGTTGAAATATAAACTTAATTTTAGTTGTTTAAATAAAACTTAATTATGTCTCATCTAAAAACTTATTCTAGAATATGTGGTATGTATGAAATTACTGTGTGGTAGGTGTGGAATTATTGTGTGGTAGGTATGAAATTATTTGTAACCATTAGATTGGAATTGTAGTGACACAATCCTAGTCATTAATTTAGGAGGTGTCACTACTATAAATAGGAGTGAAGCCTTTGAGTTTGCATCAAGTCAATTAAATGTGATAAATAAAGTGAAGCTTCTTCCATAAACTTTTAGCCTTTGTCAAATCCTGAAAGCTTATCCATTCCAACATGATGCACTCTCGGATTTTTGCGATACAAAAAATAATGTGCATCCTTGGTACCTCAAATATGTAGGAATGAAATATCAACATTAAGAAGAAAAGATTTACCCTTATCCATAAAATGAGTTGACCAAAATGACAGATATTGGGCTCATGGTATACTACATTGACATTGAAGTCAAGCAAACGAAAGATGAGATTTTCATATCTGAAGAAGGTTATGCAAAAGAGATATTGGAGGGAAATATTGAAGAAGTTCAAGATGGATAATAGCCGACCTATAAAAACCCCTGTAGAATGTGGAGCCAAGCTATCAAAGTATGATAAAGGAAAAAAAATTGATCCAACGGTTTTCTAAAGTTTGGTTGGAAGTTTGCGCTACTTAACATGCACAAGACCTGATATTTTTTATGCTGTTAGATTTCTTAGTCGCTACATGGAGACTATGACTACTACCCACCTGAAGACCGCTAAAAGAATTATGCGCTATATCAAATGTACAATTGATTTTGGCTTATTTTACTCATCATCCAACAATTTCAAGCTTGTAGGATATAGCGACAGTGATTGGGCTGGAGATATAGATGATTAAAAAGCACTACAAGGTTCGTGTTATTCATAGGAGACACTGCTTTCACTTGGATGTCAAAGAAACAACCAATTGTCACTTTTTCTACTTGCAAAGCTGAGTACGTAGCTACAGCCTCATGTGTTTTTCATGCAATTTGGCTTCAAAACCTATTAAAGGAGTTAAGTTTACCACAAGAAGAGGCGATCAAGATTTATATCGACAACAAGTCTGCAATCGCGCTAACAAAGAATCCAATTTTCTACGATAGAAACAACCACATTGATATGCGCTATCACTACACCAGAGAATGCTTCGAAAGAAATGAGATACAAGTGCAGTACGTGAAGTCTCAAGATCAAGTTACAGATATTTTTATCAAACCACTCAAAAGTGAAGACTTTATTAAATTGAGAAGTTTACTTGAAGTAAAAAAATCAAATTTAAGAGAGGATGTTGAAATATAAACTTAATTTTAGTTGTTTAAATAAAACTTAATTATGTCTCATCTAAAAGCTTATTCTAGAATATGTGGTAGGTATGAAATTATTATGTGGTAGGTGTGAAATTATTGTGTGTTAGGTATGAAATTATTTGTAACCATTAAATTAGAATTGTAATGACACAATCCTAGTCATTAATTTAGGAGATGACACTACTATAAATAGGGGTGGAGTCTTTGAGTTTGCATCAAGTCAAGTAAATGTGATAAATAAAGTGAAGCTTATTCCATAAACTTTTAATCTTTGTCATATCCTGAAAGCTTATCCATTCCAACATGATGCACTCTCGGATTTTTGCGATAAAAAAAATAATGTGCATCCCTGGTATCTCAAATATGAAGGAATGAAATATCAACATTAAGAAGAAAAGACTTACCCTTTTCCATAAAATGAGTTGACCTGAGCTGTTGAAGTTGATGGAAGAATAAGGGAAACCTTCTCTTACTTGGTGATAACAACTAGCTAGTACTTGTCGATAGAGTTCATCAAAATAAGCATTTATCAATATTATAGGCTTCATGCTTTAAATCTAGTTAATCTAGCAACTAAAACATGTATTCGACTCTGATCAGCAATGTCTCCTTTTCCTCCTAAGATGCAATTAACAATCTTATAGTGGATGCCAAATGGCGTGAAAGATGATTATTTTGTTTATACCAAGACCATATGAGTTCATATAAGCTATGAATGCAAGAGAACAACAATGAATTATACTCAGATTTACTCTACAGGAGGCTAGAGAGAAGAATTGAAAACAAAAATAAAAATGATACAAGCATTTGCAGTTCCTTGCTCTTGTGATTTATTTTTATTTTAGTGATATTAGAGTATGAATGTTCACTATTCAAGAAGAATTCGAGAATGAGCACGGCGTCGCGGATGAGTTAGCTCGCATTAAAACATGAATTTATATGTTTTTCTATTTTTGTAGTTTGTTATATACATAACGATTAACTAGTAAGATTAGATACCTAACATTAAAGAAATTATATAAGATTTTTCCTGCCACAATATACAACCATGTAACTGCAAAAAAAATATCGTAAGAAAATATTTTACATTACCATCCAAATAAAGTCTAGAAACATGTACAATAATTTAAAAATGAAAAATTGATAAATTCAAAGGCTAACTCAGAAAAGCCTAAGAAACATCGACACTAACTCTTTTGAGTGATTTCTGTCAATAAGGTATTGACACCACACTTATTTCTAATGCTGGACGATCATAATTGCCCCCTAACATTCATCTATCAGTTCTGGCAAAATGTAAGAAAACCCATGTACTCGTGATGTTTGATCATGTAAATACTTTTGTCAGCACCAACCACGCCTGTAACAAATGATAATTCACATAAATAATATACTATATTTATATATTTTGAAAACAAATTAAGATAAAATCTGTTGTTACTAGGACCAAGTTGATGAGAAGATAGCATTACCCATGGTTAGAGCACTCGCAAAGATGACCGCGGAGAGGATGAAGACAATGATCGAAGCTCTTTTTAGAAACTTCACCAGCTTCCTTACCAAGAACTGTCCCCAGAATCCAGCAGTCATAGATACAGCTATCAGGTATAGAGCTGAAACACAAAACAATTTAAGAATAATTAGAAGTTTTGTTATGTTAACTAATGACGATTAGTTGCTTTGGGTGATAAGAATTGGTTCTGGTTTATTACCATAGGGCATGGGAAACCTTTTGAGAAAATAGAACTCCACAACAGAGAGAGATGATGAGAAAAGCATGACAAATGTCGCTGTAGCGCTGGCAACCTATAAAAGTTTAGATGAATTAACAAATTAAAGGAAGTTAAAATTGTAAAGAAACTTTCTATTGTTTGCATCATTCAACTTGTTTTTGTTACACTGACTCTAGACTAAACACCTTAACCAAATTTAGTTTGGTCTACCTATTTATTCCAATCAATTCCTTCCCTCTACTATTATTTCTTTATACAAATCTAAAAATATTATTTATCGTCTCCTGTGCTTAAATTTTTTTTTACTTGTATATTTCAAGTGGCTACCTTTAATATATAATATGTGGTGTTATATATATTACTCTCCTTCAAAAGAAAATACCTAACCTAGCTCTATAAGAGCATAAGTAAACAAAGCTATTATTTTATTTTAATTTAAAAAAAACTAAAAAATGAAATAAAAACATTAAGCTTGTTCTTATAGCACACATGGAATATGTATGTAAAACATGCCAAGCACCGGTACACAGATGAGCTAAGCACAGCAGGCCGAAGAAACATCCAAAATGTCCAATCTCCTGTACAGCTCAAAATAATCATAATCATATTGACATTCATTGCATCTTTAAACAGTAATCGGAGAAGCCGCCATGGTAAAAAAAAGGCTAGCTAAACCTGGCCTACTCGACCTACCGACCAGCCAACATTTTGATCTTTGTGCTAGATTCTTGAATTGATTTTCATTAAAACCCATCGGAGACAGAAAATACACCCAACGCAGCAAGCACTTGTGAGACTGCAATAATTGATTTTCCTAAATGATTACACCAAGCCAGTACTGCAATAATGGAGTACTGCAGCCCACGTTTTTATGTGAGAACTTTGGGCTTTATTGCTGCCTGAATGATGGAAAAATTGATTGAAAATCTTAAATTTTTAGGTTTAAGTGCCCATCTTTTCCATGGGGAAAAAAAACTGGTCATCATAATTGATAGATGTCACACAAGCAACTCATATGTGAGAAAAAGATAGAGAATTAACATCGATTCACCCTCTCTCTCTCTCTCTCTCTCTCTCTCTCTTTCTCTTGTTGGATTCACACATGCCCAAGAATTTGAGCGGTCTGTCACGGACAAATAGTCCCACATTGGCTAGGTGTAGGGCCGAAAAGCAGTATTTAAGTCCTGGGCTGCCCACCACCCATAAGGGCTCTTTTGGGAGGTGACAAGTGGTATCAAAGCAGATTACTGCCTGCCAGGTGTGTGGACTCTCCATGGTCCAGTGGGACCCTCGGTGGAGCCGATCCGTGACGAGGGCATCACGTGATTAGGTGGAGGAGAATGTCACGGACAAATAGTCCCACATTTGCTAGGTGTAGGGCCGAAAAGCAGTATTTAAGTCCTGGGTTGCCCACCACCCATAAGGGCTCTTTTGGGAGGTGACAGGTCGGTAAGGAGGAGGTGAAAAATAGAGGGAGCCAAGGAAATACAAAGGAAATAAAAGTGAACAAATAGTATTTCCCCAAAAGGGTGAACTGGGTTATTCTCGGACTTGGTGACCCATTTTATATTTGAAAATAAAGAATATAAGAGAGAATGAGTGTAAGTCCTTCCTATAGAGTACGGGTTTAAAGAGAAGAGACAAAAAATTCCTTTTACATCTGAGTCCCTATTTATAGAGAAGAAAGAGCCACACAATGGAAAAAATATATATATGCCCTTGTTTTAATAAGTATTGTCTTTTGTTTTGTTTTTTTTTGTATTTGTAACTGATTTAGGCGTCTTTCGGTATTCTTGGACACTTCAGTCGGAAGTCCTTGAATTGGTTGGCCAAGTTGGTGTCAGTTAGCTATGTTGTCTGGTTACCAAGTGATCTTTGCCCTAGGAAGCCAGACAGTTTTGAGCGTTGTACCCGACCAACTAACATGTTTCAAGGTGATTTTTAAGGAAGAATTTGGGAGAATGCACAACAATATTTGCGAGGTTGTTAGGGATATCGATCCTTGGCTTAGGTGGGAGAGGCCATCTTCTTTCGAGCAGCCTAGATAGAAAGGCCTTTGCTTGTCGTTTTTAAGGTGGTTGATCAGCCATGGGCTCTCCAATCAGTCTTCTTCATGAACATTACTATGTGATCTTGACTATCAGCTGCCTCTAGATCCGTGCAGAACATTTTTGGATGTGTGTGTACGTGTGTGTGTGTCTATGAGTAAACAATATAGATAAAAGAATATGATTTAGATATTTTCTTATTCGATCTTCATTAGTTTCACATTTTATCTCTTAATATCTCTCATCATATTCATCAGTAAAGAATAATTACGTGACCTTTTAGTTTGATTTATTCAAAACCAAATCATCCAATCTACTTATATAATACTTGAATCTTTTGAACATGATAATAATATTAATCCCCAAAAATCTAATTCTTTATGATAACTCATGGCAACCCATCATTCAAATGAGTGGTAAAGCCTAAACCAAAAGTGCTTGTGTTTATAAGTGGCTACACCGGTTTCATTCAATAGAGGCTTCAGAGTGATCAATGATGATAGAGTGCATGATGACCAAGCAAATAATTGACAATGTCATATACTAGTGTGAGTAATACTTCCCCAATTTTTATATCTCAAGCTTCATCTAAATCACATCCAAAACAACATGCAACTTTAAGCAGTTGCCCAATCTCAAACATGACTAAAATCTTGATCCCTAAGTGTTCACGTGCTTGCCTATATACCAATACAAGGCCGCGTGTCTATACAGTCAACTACATCTCAAAACAAGATGCCCAAAACGATTCGATCACACAAGTTTTAAGTTCTTTTGATGTGAACTACGGGTGTCTACAATGTGCGTTTGATAAGAGTATAAATGAGCTGAAGTTGAGTGAGCTCAACTACTATTTGGCCTGGCGTTTGAGTATTAAACTCCACGAATATAGGCGCACACAAAAATATAAACATGCATAACACACATATAGACATGTAGAAAAAATGTACACATTCATTAATATTGTCAAGCTCTCATCGAGTTGAACAAAAGCAAACAAGATAATTTTTATGCTTGCCTCTTTAAATAAATGAGACAATAAAAATAAGTTGAATTCAAGACGATTATTGAATCAAATATGAGCATCAAGCTCATTTTTAAAATCCTAAATATCACCAACAAACTTTATTTTCGTTAGGCCAATTTTGAGATTGTTATATTCTTCCCGTCGTAAAAATTTTAGAAGGTATTAAGTTTAAAAAGATATTTTACATATTATATATGTAAATATTAGAGAGTTTATATATGGATATGCAAGGAAGGCTCTCAATCTTACAGTGGAATAAATATCATTAAGCTATTAAAATTATTAGATATTAGATTCTACTGTGTAAGTTGATTTTGGGATTCTTATATTTTTGTTGTCTTAAAATAGTTCAAATGATATATAATTAATCAAGATAATCTACATATCATATAAATGTAGATATAGATATTAGTATTTCTATCAAATACTCTAGAATTGATTCTATGTTATTTATTAAGATGTAAATAGTTTTTATATTAAAATTTAATATTAAGATTTCTTCAGATATCATGATGATTATTACTGCCTCCATCTAATAAACATATAAATAGAAATATAATATGTTTGACACTTAGAAAGCACATAAGAAGAGCTGAAATGAATAAATCCGTGATAGGGTTGGTGTAACTCCACTGGCAGATAAAATTAGAGATGATCATCTTAGTTGGTTTGGTCACATTAAAAGTCGACCATCTGATGATACGGTTAGGAGAATAGAAGTTTTAGATTCGACTTATGTTAAGAAAGACAAAACTAGACAAATAATGACTTGGGCATATTGTATAAAAATGATCTTAATTTATTAGAATTAAATGTAAATATGACTCTCAATAGGACTCAATTGATTTATTAGAATTAAATGTAAATATGACTCTCAATATGACTCAATTGAGAAAAAGGATTCATGTAGCTAACCCCACTTAGCGGTATAAAAGACTTGTTATTGTTGTTGTATAGAAATTGAATATATTAGCTATTTTTTAAAAAATTATTTGTAAGAGACTCAATTGACAATTGATATCTCTGGTTAAATAACTCCAAAATAATGTGTTCCTCATTGAATATTAGGAGAGTTGGGCCCATAGACATAAAATCCTCATAGAATAAATAGAAAGATGCCTCACAGACCATGAATACACTGTACAAACATAAAAGACAGAAAAAAAAAATTAAAGTGTTAAAAGACAGAAAAAAATTAAAGTAGCAAAGAAACAGAAAAAGTTGGACAGCTCACCTGGGGCATACACTGTACAAACATAAAAGACAGAAAAAAAAAAATTAAAGTAGTAAAAGACAGAAAAAAGAAAAAGTAGTAAAGAAGACAGAAAAAAGTTGGACAGCTCACCTGGGGGACAACACCAATCTCTAGGAGTAATGGTCCAAGAACAAAGCCTCCGCCGGAGCCAAGAAGGCCACCCACGGTGCCGCCAAGGAGGCCGCACAGAGCGCATAAGATGAGCTGGAGCGCGCTCCATTCAATTGACGCCTCACACACGCACGCCCAGTCCCCACGCTGACGCCTTGCCCTGCTCTCTCGCCACAGCCGCACAGCCTCCCAACCGAACACGCTCAGCGCCGCCGGAAACTGTTGCCTTATTATATTGAGTTATTTCTGGTAAATCAACCATTTTTACTTCGAAAAATGAGTCGACATTGGTATGGGTGCCCACCTGGAGGATGTTCAAGAGCCAAAAAATGGTGCTACAGTCCTCGGTGCCATTCTGCAAAACAAGTAAGAAAATACAATTTTTTTATTTGTAAGAGCAGGAGAAAAGATTTTGATCCAAGGGAAATATAGATAAGTCGATAGAAGGTTTCATACTTTGAGAACCTGGAGGAGGAGGAAGGAGAGCCAAACGAGAACAAGGACAAATATGCCTTTCCAACGTAGGTTTATGAGTAAAATTTCCTGTTTTAAAAACAGAGGACAAAGGTAGAATGGAGATTAATGTGATGATTGAGTGGAACAAAAGGAAAAGAATGTTTCATAATCTTTTTTTATTTCATCTTTCAACTCACAATTCCGGACTTCTCCGGCGGCGGAGCAAGCAGAGGCTCGTATACCGAATCCATTATAACTATGCATAAAAAAAGGTAGTATTGCACATGTTAATGAAATGAAATAGAAAATAGCAGATTACATGGTGAAAATGAAAATTAGTATTTTAAACACCATCACTGCTCCTTTCAGATCTAGCTTTGGCCTCCTTCTCTCTGTTCTCCGTCTCCATCTGTAACAGGATTAATATACTAAACCAAGTCAATTTGAACAATTTTTATATTTTAAGGTTTAAAAAAGAGCATTTATATTTGTTATGCACAAAAAAGGAAACCTTGACGATAGTTTCCTCCTTCCACATCTGGATTCCTTTAAAGAAAGACCTCGACGAAGTACCTGAATCAAAACTAACGAACAATTATGATAAAACCATAGAAATAAAAAAAAAAAACGAAAAATTTTTGAATTTGCTCCAGAGCAGTACAGAGCGCGTCACAAACCCAAAAAAAGGATGATGATGAGAACACTGATGAGCCAATAAGGAAAGACTACACTTAGAGCGACTCCAATTGTGATTCCCAGCATCAACATGGGCTGAAAGAGCAGGGCAAGGTCGTAGTCTATGATGGGAACCTCCTTCGAAGGATGTAAAACCCGTAGATTATACCAAACAGAAGATGCCGATGCACCCATGATCATACCTAAACAAAGTTCACAGACAAATGTTAAGAAAGTTGAGATCTTTTTGATGGGAAAGAGAGCACGAACGTTGAGGCGCACATTTCGAGAGAGCTGCGGCTGATTTGGTGTCGAAGCCGACGATGAGATTAAGCATTGGAACAAATATACCGCCTCCACCTACACCGCCCACCGTACCGAAGGCCGAGCCGAGGAAGCCGATGATGGTCGCCAGAGCGCTCCGCCAGTTCGCCTCCAATTTCTGTTAATTACCTCGTTTGGGAATAACCGCAATGAGAAAGGTTTACAATTTCTGTTCTTTAAGAAAAAAGAGTCCTAAAATGGTAGGGGAAAGGCACTCACGGGCCAGACTCGAGGGCTGCGAGAAGATAGCTTGGAGTGGCCGCCATGGGGTGGCTCACTAGAAAGGAAGAAAGTGACGGAAATGGCGATGGTGGCGGCGGAGAAGAGGCAAACGATGAACCTTTTAGGGATGCAACCGTTGTAGACGGAGAAATAGGAGCTGCTGCTATCCATATATGGCCTTCTTGTTTCCCGATCCTAAGCTCTCTGCTTGAAGATAGACGAAGAGATATATCAACCCTAATCTACGTGGTGAAGGATAAATGAGAGAATTCGGGGAGGCAGAAGAGGAAGAAGCGCGCATCCAAGTTTTAACTGTCAGTTTTCTAAATAAATGCTTAGAGAAATTTCTCAGCCTGTTAAAATATATTAAAATTAAATAATTGCTAAATAGAGAGACGTTTTATTTCTTGTATTATTGGAAATGGTACCCATTAAATTACTTAAATTTGCAGTAACTGGATCCAACACTTTATTCAGTTAATCTACGATGCACTTGCCATACATAACCACCCCAATTCCGATCATTTATCGTGGTTACATGCATAGCACTAAAAAATTATTAATATTATATATATATATATATATATATATATATCCCTTTGTTCATTATGAAATAGATTCTAGAATTGCTCAAAATGAGAGAAACTTTCTAACCTCAGGAGAATGACGCAGGAGAGATTTATTTAAGTGTATACGTCTTGATTTATGTGTTTTTGTTTGTTATTTGTCTTTTTGTTTTAGCATGACCTACTTGTAATTAAGAGAGCCTAGTCTTTATAAATAGGGGCTGTTTTGTGTGGGTTGGGAAGAGGGGTTTTTGGACTTGTGTTTATTTTTTCTTAAGAGGCTTCGGCCCATCCAAATCTTGCCTCTGCAGTTGTACCTTGGATTGGCAACCAGGTGATGTTTTGTGATGTTTAGCCATTATCTTGTTCTTCATGTTATTAATTGTTTTTCCCAGTTCTTTCCCCTATTTTTGTTAAATTTAGTAACCCCCTTTTGCTGGTATCAATGGGGCCTTGCGTTGTTGGAACAATCTCCACTAATAGTGAGTATGAGTTACAACGGGCCTCTCTCCTTGAAAAAGTAGACATTAATTGAAGCAGATAAAAAATTGACTAACACTACTATATATATATATATATATGTTGATTCCAATTTAATGGATCGCTAAAGGACAAATCAAAAGAAAAATGAGATTGGACTTTTAAGAATTCTCTTTTTATTATTTTTGAAGGAGTGAAAAGATACAAATCTGGAGTGTGTGTTTTACATTGCAACACCACACCTAATTTATACTAACTAAACCGAAACAAAAAAAGAAAACATACACAATAAAAGCAAAGAGATTTAAGTGTCATCAATTCACGTCCATTTGAATTGATTACACATATTTAAATTTTGAATTTGAATTTAAGATTCAAATTCAAAATTAATGTTATTGACATATCTCTTATATTTAATTCAAAATTAATGCTATTGTCATATGTCTTATATTTATTCCACTAATCAAGTCATGCCTATTATGAAACCACTAAATGTGTAATCAATTCAATTAACCAATTCAAGATTAGTCTCACAATATATATATATATATATATATATATATATATATATA